CTCCATCTTTCGTTGGTCTCTGCTTCCAAAGGTTGGAGATGCTACTGCTTTGCCATCCAAGCATGCTCATCTTCTCAGTCGCATGCGCTACAATCAGCCTCCTTTCAGTGTGATGAAGTTTATTTGGTATGAGATTGCCAACACCATTCTTGAGCCTAAGCGAGGTTGCATTTATGCTCCTTTCATTATGAAGATGATTGAGACAGTCACCGGAGTGTTCTACATCAAAGATGGGCGCCACAATCCTTTTCATCCTCGTGTTCCACCTTCCTCTTATCCAGTGATACCTAGATCCATCCCTTCTACCTCAGCTGGTCCTTCTTCTAGTGCCCCACCGCAATCCTCGAGCTCTTCTCCCATCAAGAAGGCACTTCAGGCGATCTTCTGTATGTGTGCTAAGACTGCAAAGAAAGTGAAGAAGATCGAAAGGCGTCAGAAGGAAGATAGAAGAGAGGCTGGGAAAGAAGTGTAAGATGATTGTAAAGATGAGGTCTATGTGGATCCTTTTGAGGCTTATGAGGCAGCCCGCAATGTTGCCGGTGAAGGTCCATCCACCTATTTCAATGAAGAGTCTTCCCGATCAGATGATGATGAGGAGGAGGATGACGCCGAGGCAGCTGCTGAGGATGCTCCCACTGATGTTGACACCGCTGCACAGTCCGATGAGTCTCATCTCTCCGGTGATACCGAGATTGTTCCCTCCGATGGAGATGGAGATGAGTGATCCTCTTCTTCTCTTCATGGTTTCTTGCTTTTTGGTGCCTTGATGCCAAAGGGGGAGAAATTGTGAATTGAAGGGGGTTATTTAAATCATTTTGCGTTCCGGGTCCTATGATCTGGAGGTTCCGACCAGGCAGATTCCCTCCCTTTTATCTCTCTCTCTATGGACATGTAATCATATTCTTTTATGATTGGATGTAATGACTGTTAGATGCTTTATTATCCTTTATGTCAGTAAGTTAGTCCATATGAATGTTGCATTTTGATGTGATGTAGTGTTCTTTTCATCTTTTTGAGTGATTGCCATGTCATCTAGTCTTTCTTCTTGCGTATCACACATCTTTTAAGCACTCACATCTGCATCTTATTTGATGAGGGTAGTGTGAAGTTTCTTTTGAGGTTTCCTTCATCTTATGCATATTGTATTCATCTCATTTCATTATATGCATATCTTTAGGGGGAGCTTCATACTTCTCTCATCATTCCAAATTTAAATTCTATTATCTTTTTGTGTGCTTTAACCATGTTGTCATCAATCACCAAAAAGGGGGAGATTGAAGATGCACTTAAACCCCCTAGTGGGTTTTGGTGATTAATGACAAGGTGGTTAAAGGGGACTAACGTGTTTATCAAGTTTATTCACAGGAGTTTAGTCCCAAAGCAAGTTGTGATGGCTAAGAATGTAAGGAGACCCCCCCAATTTGAATGTTCCTAAGTGCAAAAAACATCGAAGGTGATTAGACTAGGTTTTTCACTTTCGAAATTGAGTTTAGGAAAAACCGTACTATTAAGAGGGGTTTCAAGTGTGGTTCCAAGGTATACAAAGTGCTCTTAGTCATATCCATGAGTCTAAAGGTTTTTGGAATCATTTTTGGAAATGATTTTCCCCGAGACAGAGAGGCCTACCCGGAGGTTCTGGCCGGAACCTCCGGACACCAAAGTTTATTTTCTCCCCGAGACAGAGAGGGCTACCCGGAGGTTCTGGCCGGAACTTCCAGGCACCGAAGTTTAGCTAGATTTTTTCTAAGTGCTACCCGGAAGTTCTTCGCACTTTTGCCCGGAACCTCCTGGCAGGTTTCTAGTTCAATCTTGTGAGTAACGGCTAGATGACGTCACCTAGCCGTTATATATATGGATTTCGTCCCCAGGTCACCCTTTAGCCATTCCACTTCAGCTCTTTCATGTTCTAGGGTTTTCTAGCCACTCCCAAGCTTCCTTTGCTTCCTCCACTCTAATCTAGAGCCTATCTTGTGAGATTGAGAGATTAGATTAGAGTGTAGGAGTGTTTTGGAGATGGCTTGAAGATTAGGTTTGATTGAGCACTTTGGATACCTTGTGGGCTGTCACTTGGGCTTATTACTCTTGGAGATCTTCTCCTAGACGGTTAGGTGTCGCCCGTGAGCTTCCAAAGATCTTGTGGATGTCCCGGGAAAGTTTGTGAAGATTTTCCTCACCTCCGCAAGGAAACGAGGTAAGTGAGTAAAGATTCTTGTGCTGAGTTTTCAGAGGTTATCCTAGGTAGAGCAACTTGCACTTGTGGTCTTTTCTAGAAGGAATTGTGAGTTGGATCTTGGTGGTCACTCAATTCTAGAAAACGACCTAGAAGTGTTGAGTTGAAGGCTGTGGACTTCTTCTGAGATCTTTTCATAAGTGAGGCAAGGGGTTAATCGAGACCCGGCTCTTTGAGCACCTCAACGGAGAGTAGGATCTGTGTGATCCGAACTTCGGGAAAAAATCGCCTTTGTCTCCCTTGTGCATGATCTGTGTTTGAATCTGCTGGTATCTTGAGAATTACATCTTGTGCAACTCTGTGCCTGATCATCTCTAGCTAGGACCTGTTATACTTCCCCTAATTTCGTTTTTCTCTGCTGTCCGGAAGTTCCTGGCTCAAGAACTTCGGAAGTTCCGGGCTACTCATCCTACCCGGAAGTTCCGGTGTTCATCACCAGGAGGTTCCGGGCCCTGTCAATTTAACCGCTGCGATTGTTGAGAAAATTTCAGGAAAGCCTATTCACCCCCCCCCCTCTAGGCTACATCTCTGCACATTCAGAGGAGAGGAGGAGGTACCTCGATCCGATCGTGCACACCTCTCCGATCTCAGCGTCGATCTTTACTCCCGGTTGGTTTTACCAACCAGGACTATAAATAGATCTTTAGTCACCAACCGGGAGTAAAGCGTATGGCGATCTTTTTTCCCGGTTGGTGTTATCAACCAGGACTACAAATAGATCTTTAGTCCCGGTTGCTAACACCAACTGGTACTAAAGATTGAAAAGTACCATGTAGCTTTTAAACCGGGACTAAAGATATTTTTAGTCCCGATTTTTAATATAACAGGGACTATTGTAAAATCTGGTCGACCGACCAAAGATGGTTTCTGAAAATGCATCTAGGCCCCTAATGATTTTGATGATTGATTACTATGCGATTAGAGAGGACTAACATTTTTATTCAAGCAAATGTGAAGGTTGTTAAGTTCTCAACGTGTTGTAATACAATGCATATCCCGTGAATGCGACATCGCGATGCAATGCGGCAATGATCAAATGGTATATTGTATCTTTTTCCTCGCATTGTGTCGTAGGAAAGCCGTACTATTAAGGGGATGATGCATAGACATATAAGGAGTGATGCGTGTGCTCAAAATCAATTTTACTTCGAAGCATTTCTCTTTTGGAGCGTTCTGGAAATTTTCGGATGTTCCGAAAATACACAGAACCGCGTTTGGGCGTTCTGGAAATTTTCGGAAGTTCCGAAAATAATTTTCAGAAGTTCCGAAAATACACAGAACCGTTTGAGAGCTCTCTGGAAATTTTCGGAAGTTCCGAAAATACACAGAAGCGTTCTGGAAATTTTCAGAAGTTCCGAAAATTTTTTTCGGAAGTTCCGAAAATTGCGTTGACTTCGATTTTTCTCAGATCTGGAATTTTCGGAAGTTCCGATAATTGTTTCGGAAGTTCCGAAAATCCCTTTTATTGCACTCTAACGGGCAGATTTGTGCTGTGGGTATAAATACCCACCTCCCCTCACTTGTGAGGGTTGCTGGTTCCATTCCAATTATTTGTGCCCTTGGCTTGCTCTCTCTCTCTCTAGTTCATTTGAGCCTTGCTTCCTCGATTCATCTCTCCACCCGTGTTTGATTTGGATTTGGTGTGTGTGTGAGAGTGTGGATTCGAGCTTGTGTGGGTGCTTCTTGTGGTCTTTGTGAAGATTTGTGAGCAATTGCATCATCTCCGGGAGTTCTTTGCATCATCTTTTACTCTTGGAGGTTGAGGACTCCTAGACGGCTAGATGTCACTCCCGAGCCACCGATCTACTTGTGGTTGGCCAGGAGAAGTTTGTGAAGGCCGGATCTCGCCTCCGCAAGGGAAGAGATACCTCTTAGTGAAAGGAGGAGTGCTTAGTGCAACCTCTTGAGAAAAGGGTTAGCTAAGACCCGGCTCTTAGTGAGTTCCTCAACAGAGAGTAGAATCCCCTTAAGGATTTGAACTCCAGGGAACAACTTTGGGAGCTACATCTTGGTGATATTTCTTCATCCCTCTCCTCTAGCTTTGCTTGCTTGTGCCGCTATTGGTCTAGTTGCTGATTGTGCCTTGTATTCCCTGTTATAGTCTTATAGATCTAGAGTTTTCATTTTGTGTGCGCTGCTCTGTGCATTTTCGGAAGTTCCGAAAATTCCCAGCCTAGCTCCAAAAATTACTGCTTCCGTATTTCTTAAGTTTTAAATTAGCCTATTCACCCCCCCTCTAGGCCTAATTGACCCTTTCAGTTTCTCCACCAGTGTACTATAGCTCCCACGCGTGCACTATGAGTGCCTCCTGTTTTGCAAATACGAAGGCACATTTTACTACTTGGGAAATGTAGACATGTGAGACCAAGCATGTGGCCCAAGATGTCAAATAATTGATGCTAATTTTGTGGAATGGCAAAGTACCGAAATTCCTAATTTGTGTGCCATCAACACAAACTAAATCATTGCAATAAATGGCTTAAGTGAGAGTATACATGTGGGGTTGTGAGATAATTTGGCAAATATAAGGGACTATTTCACCAATATGCTGTTATTTTAATCTCTGGTTCATGTGGTATATGCCAATATTTTATTTATTTATTGGAGTTTTAAGAAAAGTATGTTACCATTGGCAAATCATAAGACTAATTAGAGGTCCCATAACATATAATGGGCCTTCAAAATGTAACAAAGGTAAATAAAAGTCCTTGATGAGAAGTAACCGTCAAGTCTATGTAAACTACATGTGCAACTTTTATAGATGAGTTCATTGACACATATGAATTTGTAAGCTTTATTCATAGCAAATTAATAGTTCCATTTTGGTGACAACAGGTATAAAGCACAAACATCACAATTAGTACTGATCATTCCAATCCTAGTACAATCTAGATATAATTTAAAGGGTTTTTCTTCTTGTGCCTTTGGCAGAAGGATTTGATCCTCTCAAGACCATCCAGGAGAGAAGATGAATCAATAGCAAAAGTAATGCGAACCCAATTCTTCATTCCCAGCACACTCCCTGCATTTAGGCAACATAGTTAAATTAGGATACGTAAAGTATATGTATAAATACATTATTCGTAAAATAGAAACATTAACAAGGCTATAACATTTACTTTATTTAAGATATTATATTAAATCTCTAGCTTAATTTACTACTACAGAGTTAACTAATATTTAAAGTGGTAGCATAATATTAGATCTCTTTGTTAGTTTTTCCTTCAGTACTTAAAGTAATCAACATCCATAAACTAAAAGGACAAAGTACGTGTACCCAAATATTGTTGGACATTGAATTATATTTTCTCATATAATTAAGGCATACGCAATTTTTATTTACATGTGATTGGCCCTGTTCTTTTCCTCTTACAGATTATGGATTCTTACAAGCACACTTTCCAAGCTCATGGATGGTGCGGTTTTTGCAAAATGTTTTCTACATATAAGTTTCTTGTATTTTAAAACAACTTTTATCTTTTAGATAGTCAATATCCGTTTGTATTCTCAAATATTATAAAAAAAGCAGATGATCTTTCATTTGTTCATCCATAAGACAAAAACAACAGGTAGGGATATAATGTGCCTGTCTGAATATCATTGCATCACTTTGCTAAATTTTCTTTCATATATAGAAATAAAATAATGTCGTCATATTCATATATCACATATAAAAAGTTTACATGCAATCAATAAAAAACTCATAACCACATATATTTAAATATTCTAACTAAACTATTATCTATTAGTGATTAGAGATGCAAAACTAAAAGTAATTAACTATTAACTTTTTTTAAGCAACAAAATCATAGAATAATTTTCAAAGTTTCATAACAAAATTAATTAATAAGCATAAATGTTTAGCCAAAAAGTAATCATTAGATTTGTGAGAAACTAAATAAGGTAGCATCACTTATATGTCATGGTATAGCGTTAGAGAATTACAAGAACATAACAAGTGAATTGAATAATATAATATTAAATTTTTAACTTTCTTTAATTAAATAGGCACATACATATCCATTTATTAACAAAAATGTTAGATGTACCTGGGCAAAGAATCACCGACTCTTCTTTCGCAAGTTGGCAACAAAAATCAACATCATCATGGATTCCCTCCAAAAGATATAGGTTCAATTTCACCTGTTTATAGGATTTCAATGTAAGATTACTGGAAGTGAAGCTTAAGTGACAAGTATGTTGTAGCAACAAAAGAAAATTGATGTTAACATGGCAAACTACAACTTCCTAATTATAGCATTATTCTTCAACACAATACACCAAAAATTTCTCATGACTCTGAATTAAGTGTTTTAGGTGCCAACTAAATTAAATATAGCATAATTATTTTTTGAGTGTGATAAATTGATGCTAGTACAGCTCTAATGATAAAATGATTTAAGAGGAAATCTTACCATCACAAACATGGATCCTTCGGGCTTGTGAGGACAAGTGATGCATTTAATATCCTTTATTCCTCTATAGCAAATATCTGATGTTTCCGTAAGCAAATCAATTATCCTCTTAAAGAATTCTTCCTTGGTATTCTTAAGAATATTCGGTAGAGCTCCCTAAGAAATTCAACAACAAAACATGCACAATTCAATTATTTGAGATAAAATGAATACACGAGGCCAATATAATATTTTTAAAGCAAGATACCAATAAATAATCTCAGTATAAGAATTGTATGCTTACTTTAACGTAACATTGAACTTCACATTATCACTTAAATAACTACGCACCTCAGAGTGAACACAAAATACAAACCTCATCTTCTCAATTAATTTTTAAAACATATTATTATGTTTTAACAGAAATAGGATGAAATGAACATAAAAAACTGAATTAAACTTTTTTTGTTACTTTGATGAACTTATGTTTGATTATAACTCTGATTCATAAGTACTATTTATTTGGTAAGTATTCGATAGTATATTTTAAACCAGTAGTTTTTCTCAGCTACAAACAATGCTAGACACCACACTGTGCATTTTGAACAGCCATCCAATTTCCGAAGAGCGACCACAACACATAGTCCACCAAACATTACATAAAGCAGATAAATGACCAAAATTATAACCCAAACATTGGCTTGTTAAGGAAAAAAACACTAACCTGAATGAAAGTTGCTGGATCAGTTGAAACATTAAGGAAATTAGTAATTAATGTTGCAATCTACAAAGAAAGTAGTATACACTTAGAAAAATATATATTTCAAATATCAATTCACAAAAAAAGTATCAAAACAGTATTAAATATATATTTTACCTTGGTTTCTTGTAGAGTCTTCTTGGGGTCACATATTGCTACCCAACCAAGTCGCCATCCCGGCACTATCCACCTCTTTGATAGCGATCCTATGGTTAATATTGGTACGATGTGCCCAAAGCAACCCATTGGGACAAATGGGGAACTCCCAAAAACCAAATTACCATACACCTCATCAGTAATTACCAATATCCCAAGCTTCCTTGCTACCTCTGCCACCTAAATAACAATAATACATATGCACATTAATAAGTTGCCCATAATATTATTTAAACTTTTATCAAATTTAAATAAACCAGCTGAACCTTGGATAAATGCTCGTAAGTGTACACATTCCCGCATGGATTATTGGGATTTATGATGACTATCGCAGTAGTGTTCTTGTCCGCAATAGATTCTAGGGAGTTAAGGTCAATCTCCCAGCCCTTCTCAGGAATAAGATCAAAGTGACGAACTTCAAGGTTGTTGAACGCGGCTCGAGCTTCATAGTTTGGGTAGCCTGGTCTAGGAAGCAATATGTTTGTGCCAGGTTGGGCAAGGATTGAGATTACGACCTCGATGGCCTGAGTTCCTCCAGCGGTTAGGAAGATGTCATCAGAAGATAGCTTGTATGGGAGGTCGCGTGACAAATGATCTGCCACAGCACTATATTCAAAAGAAAGGCACAAGATTAATCAAGATATATTATGATATAATTAACAATCACATAAGCAAGCATGAACCAACATCACGTAAATGCCTCTTTCAGGAAGAACTGCATCCTCGGCGCAAATAAAACATTTAATTAATAATCATACATGAAAAAAAAAACATAATGAACAACATGCCATTATTAAAAAAAACAGCATGTAAAATCCTTTCTAAAGAAGAAATGCATCATCAACCCAGAAAAACCGAATTATTGGACTATATATTCTTCTCCCCTGCTTCTAGTCCACAAAAGGCACGATTGTTCTCAATTCAAAAGAGAGCACATTTTCCTTCCTTTCTTTTCCTCCTCTTTCTTTTGTTTTTTCCCCCAGAAATCCAGCAGCTACAGCCTTCAGTCCTACAGCTAGCACAGATGCACAATGAAGGCTCCATCCAGGCTGTGCGCCCGCCACGTCGGACGAGCCGCAGCAGCCGGGGGGCGTGCCAGCACGCGGTGGGGGCGGGCGTGGACGACGCGGGGCTCGTGCTCCCCCGCCGCGGGCGCGTGCGCCGCTCGGGCCGTACGTCCCGTCCATCGCCAGCCGTTGGTTCCACTTCAGTTCTCCTCCCCTACTAGCTCTCGCCGACCACGGGAGTAGTACGCCTCGAGATCGACGCCAATACAGTATTCGCGCACATGTGACATGTGTAATAACACTACTTCAATAATTGTTTTCTTCATCCAGTTTAAATTCAATTAAATCCATGGTTCTATATGGGTTTGAATCGAAACAAATCTTCCCCGGGATTACATTACAGGGAGGTTGTGAGTTGTGACCCTACTGACCTCGTGTTGCATATGGGGTTGTTGTTTTGCCGGTTCTTTTTTTCAACTCTGAACTCCAAATTTCTCATTTTTCATTAGCACACTTTTCAAACTGTAAAATTATATATTTTCATAAAAAAATTATATGTGCAAGTTGTTTAAAAAATTCAAATAAATCTATTTTTCAGTGCTACAGTCCTTAAAATTATGACCAAAGTGTGCTCACTACAACAGAGAAGACCCATGCAGCTTAATTATAGGTGCCTGATGATGTGTATATGAAATATATATCACCCGTACATGTTGCAAAATAGGAATCGGATCAAAGTGAACAAATTATATAACTGGTGGGTAAAGTAGCACGCTTTTGTTAGTAAACAAAGAATGGTACGCAGACTAGGGGACTGTTTTAGTTTATTGCCAAACTTTATCACGTCTAAAGTAGGCAGCTCCGGTTCTTCTGGCAAAACGTTTGGCTTATAACTGCAATTGTAGCGTTTTTAGATTTGCTTATAGACTCAATTTGCAAGCTGATTTATTTTGGCCATAAGTGTGGCGAGCTTTTTGTCGAGTGTCGAAAAACTATAGCTTGCTAAATTGGTGATATATGCTGTTTGGCACACAAAATAAGCAAATGAACCAACCAGTCCCTAAACACTATTCGTATAATTCGTATTATAATTATCATTAATGAATAAAATAAGCACTATTAGTAAATACGTGTTATCACTGGCTCGATTCGAAAGTACTCTAGTTGATAAATTTTTTAAACTAAACTATTCAATTTTGAACGAAAACTGGCCTCACTATATATGGCTCGCCTCGGCTCAGCTTGCTAGTTCTCGTTAACAAACAAATAGTTGAGAAAATTTAATAAACTAATTTTAATAAAGGCCATAAAAGGCAAACATGAACCATGCACACGTAGCGAACAATTAATCGGCAAAGAAACGGAAGCGGAAAAAAAACATAAAACCAAAACCGAATATTTGAACTCGCCGGAAAATAATGAAAACAAAAAAAAAACGGAAGTGGATGGCGTGGGTGGTACCGTCGCGCGGCGGGGAGGCCGACGCCGGCGGGGTAGCAGTTGAAGTCGCCGGAGCGGAGCGCGTCGGCGACGGCGTCCTCGGCCTCGGCGGCGGTGCGGAACTCGGGGAACACGGAGGGGTCGCCGTGGGCGAGCGGCAGGACGGGGCGCGGGCCGCGGTCGTCGACGCTGGCGCTGATCTTGTACCGCACCGCCCGGATGCTCATCTTGTCCCCCGCCGCCGCCATCGCGCCGCCCCTCGTCGGCGCCGTCAGCCTCCACTCCTTGCTGCTGCCGTCGCTCTCGCCGCCGCCGTTGCTGCTCGCCGCCGCCGCCGCCGTCGTCGGTGCCATGGCCGTGCTCTGTTTTTTGTTGGTGAATTCCGGTGCAGAGGAGGAGGTGGTGGTGGTGCGCGTCGGATAGCTAGTGCCGCTATATTTGTAGGAGATTCTACGGGTGTGGGACACGGACTCGGGTGGGGCACAGCAGCATGAAGCATGCATGCGCGCCTGGTGCTTGGTGGTGGTGCACGAGGAGTATATAAGCCCCGTTCGACTCGAATTAGATACGAATGCGAGATTTTTCGGAGCACGCCAAACGAGATAATTATTATAAATTTATTTATAAATTTAATAAATAAATTTATTTAGTATTTTTATATATTTTTTAAAAAGGTTTTCGCACGAAACATATATTTAATAAACGTGTTAATGGGAAGTGAGATAAAGATAGAGGCCCATTGCGACCTGATCGATCAATGTTGGTCAGACGCAAGCCCCGGCAACATTTTGGCTTATTTTTGGGGACCGTTTCGGACTCTTGTGGACCGTATATCGTCACGGAGGATGCGGCAAAGCATGATCCATGCATGCTATGCGGTGGTTCTCCCCTGAGCTGAGTGACGAATGCTTGCTGCTATTCTTTATGGAAAAGAATTATGTGACCATTGCACTAAGGCTATCCCCAATCCTTCATATCATCTAGTATCCATAACATTAAATATATTGTCACATGAGTAAAAATCTGATGTGGCAAGAGAGTTAATAAGTAGAGAGATAAAAAGATGAAGAAACTATTTCTCATTCAAGAAACCATCTCTACACAAGAACCAAGAATAAAAATAAAGAGATTGGTTGATAAAATGAGAGAGAATGAAGATGATTGGATGAAAATTTAATTTAAAGACACAATCCATTGGATATATAGTTTATATATATACTGTCTAAATGATATGGTAAGTATGGAAAGTTGGAAACTACTTGATAGTTTCTGAGTAAGACTGAGTTTTAGGCGGTAACTTCAACCAACAACTTTCTTATTTTTGGTTAACACGCTTTTAAACGACTAAACAAAATTTTTTGTGGAAAAAATATAAAAAAGTTTTCTTTAGAAAAATAAAATGAATCTAAATTTTAAATTTATAATAGCTAATACTTAACTAATCATGTATTATTGAGTTTTCTTGTTTCATTTGCGTCTGAAAATCTCCATCAAAGCCACCCTAAAATATGAGGCCTCGTAGGGTGTGTTTAGTTTGAGGATAAGAAAGGATGGGTTAGACCCATCCGTATTATTTAGAATTGGATGATTCCATTATCTGTTTGGCATGAGGGTTAGACTGGTCTCGTCTTTTCTTATAGATGGGAGGATGTAGTCCACTTGTCAGTGAGAGAGAAATTATGTTGGACTGGTCTGCCAAATTTTGAGGTGTGAAGCTCATCCAAACCTTGGAATATTCCTTTTTGGAATTAACTCATCCTTATCAACTATTAAATAATCATATTAAATTATAATGTATTAGGACATTTCGGCCAATACAATTGTAACCTTTTGGGTTTATAATAAAAAAATACAATAATTATATTATTATAAAATGGATCGTTCACCTCAAAATAAGTGCACCTAGGTAAAAGGTATATAAGCGGGTTTGCAAGCCTGCCCGCTTGCACCCTTACACCTAGGTAAGGATGTGATACACTAGACCTATGAATCTGTACAGGCTATTCAGATTCGTAGTTCATATGTTACATCCTTACTTAAGTACACTTATTTTGGAGGTTTTTCCCTCTGTGCCATTAAGAAAGATGGTGCCTGCTTCTGTGCCACTAAAAAGTTCGAGCCTCCCTCTATGCCATCGTCAAACTTTATTGCGCTCTTCACACCATTCCGTCTGTTTTTGGTCGTAACGGTGGGTAACTGCACAGCCAAATGACTTAGTTGTCCTTAGACTTGAGACGGCACACAGGGAAAAACCTGCTCTCTCTTTCTCTCTTTGCTTTCTTCGTTTCTCTCCCTCGCGCCTTGCGTTGCTTGGCGCGGCGAGGCTAGGTGCAGCGGCGCGGCCGGCGATCGGGCCGAGGCGACGGCGGCCCGGTGTCCCGGCTGGGCGGCGGCTGGGCGGCAGTCAGCCCTACGCGGCCGGTGCAGCGGCGAGGCTAGGTGCGGCGGCGCGGCCAGCGACCGGGCCAAGGCAACGATGGCGTGAGCCGTGGCGACGGCGGCGCGGTGTCCCGGCTGGGTGACGGCGGGCGGCGGCGAGCCCTGCACGGCGGCGGCGGCCTGAAGGTGGCCCTGCAGCATCGGGGAAGAAGGCCGGGACAATGAGGAGGATGGGGGAAGGCCGGCGATCGGGCCAAGGCGACGGCGGCGCGGCGCCCAGGCGCCGGTCGGCCCTGCGTGGCGGTGACCTCTCGATATCTCTCGCGGGGGCCACACGGCCAGATCGTCAGAGGCGCCGTGGCGGGCCCGCTCGTTGCCGCCACCACCATCGTCATCATGGCCATCGCGTTCACCAGTCCCATGTTCCACCGCCTCCCCGCGGAAGACAACGACGCGCCGGCGTCCGTCTCCGGTAGTAGCGCTGACACTGATGAACACCGTGGCCTGAAGGTGGCCCTGCGGCATCGGGGAAGGAGGTCAGGGCGGCAAGGAGGATGGGGGAAGGCCAGCGCGGCGGTGATGGAGGCCGTCAGGCTGGAGGAGCCGGAGCGGCGCCGGGCAAAGGAGGAGGTCGGGCGCCGGTTGGAGGGGTGGCCAGCGGCGCTGTCCGCTCGGCTCGGCGGAGACGATGGCGACAAGGGAAGACGAGGCAGACGTTGATGCCAGCGATTGAAATGGCAAGAACGATATTTTTCTTGCCCGGGCCCACATGCCAGAGATACCAAACGGTTAAACCTAAACAGAATAGCGACGGAATGTTGTGGAGGGCGCGATAAAGTTCGACGATGGCATAGAGGGAGGCTCATAAGTTTTTAGTGGCACAGAGGCAGGCACCATCTTTATTACTGGTGCACAGGGAAAAACCTACTTATTTTGAGAGATTATCATGTAACTATATTTAAAAGTGGTACTCCCTCCATCCCAAAATGTTTGACGACGTTGACCTTTTTAAAAATGTTTGACCGTTCGTCTTATTTAAATTTAATTATTAATTCTTTTCCAATTATTTGATTTATTGTTAAATATACTTTTATGTATACATATAGTTTTACACATTTCACAATAGTTTTTGAATAAGATGAACGGTCAAACATGTTTAAAAAAATCAACGGCGTTAAATATTTTAGGAAGGAGGGAGTAGTAACGAAAGAAAGTATGACGTAGATAAATAAGTTTTTACCTATACATAATTTAATTATCAACTAAGCCAAATTCGATGGAAGAAGAACTCATGCTTGAAACGGTATAACAAGTGGCATGTTAATTTCGATCAATTAATATTGGCCAGAATTTGACCAAAACGATGGAGTAGGAATTAACAGCATATAGACCAGAATGGATATGCCACTCATTGCAAATCATTCTAGGTGGTTGAATGGTGCATATATGTCATCTACTCCCTCCGTTTCATATTACAAGTCGTTTATCTTTTTCCTAATCAAACTTCTTTAAGTTTAACCAAATTTATAAAAATATATAGTGATATTTTCAACCCAAAAGAAGCATATTATCAAAATATATTAAATGTTAGATTTAATAGAACTAATTTAATATTTTAGCTGTTACTAAATTTTTTTATAAATTTGGTTAAACATTTGACTAGGAAAAAAATTCAAAAGACTATAATATGAAACGGAGGGAGTAGTCAATGCTAAAACGGAGTTGATAAGCTGATATCTGCTCATACTTGTAAAATATTAGGAATAATCTAAGGCATCCTTTGAATCACATAAATAAAAAAACAGATAAATAAGAAAAATATAGAATTCTGACAGGAATACAAATATGCATAGGTTTGCAAAACACATAATAAACATAGGAATGACCATTTAATTGGACCGTAGGAAAAATACAAGAATTTGAGGAGAGATAAACACTCAAATGATTTTTTCCATTAGATTCTACCTCATGTTAAATTTCCTCCAAAATTTACATGGAAAGAGACATTCCATAGAAATTTTATAAGATTTCACAGGGTTCATTACTGTAGAAATAAAGCTCTCTAAAATTTCTGTGAATTTTGAATTTCCTTATAATCAAAAGGGGACTAAAATAGGAAGATGGTAAAAAAAAATTGATAAGCCGTGCTAAGGTCACCACCATCGTGTACCCGTCAAGTAGAAGGGGCTCCAGTCCACTGGGCCAAGGGCGGAGCTTCATAGACACCATCATGGGCCATGCTCCTATGGTCCCCAACTTTCCTGAAAATCAATGAAATCATTTTTTTTATGACATCAGTAGCTAGCCCCCATGGCCAATAAATTTTACATATTAGCCCCTCAAATTTCTCTCAAGCTCTGTTACTGGTTAGGGACATTTCCATCTAGCAATGGTGATTTACACGGGTGAATTTAACTATTTGCCACTATTGCATTTGGCAATTATAAAAATACCCTCTTAGTTTTCAGCTTACAAATTTATCACTCTACATAGGTGACTTCTTAACTATTTGTCACCTTTATCTACGTGGTTTACAAACATGAAAAACAACATGGGACCCACCCGCCAGCCTCTTCCTTGTGTCCATCTCCCTCTCCGATGCACGCGGGCATGACATCATGGGCGACCGGGTGCTTGGCCAACCTGACGCGAGGTACTTGAGGCGGACACACACCCAAGACTCTTACACAACAACGAAGAACCTCTCAATGATGAGCAGGTGGCGACCGCGCCACCAAGGTGGAAGCCCTACATGTGCGCCACGATGCATGTTGACAAATGGCAGCGAGGAGGAGGAAGGCACGTTGGAAGCCGTAGAACCTCATGCGCAGCACGATGCTCTATCCTAGCGTCACGACAACGCCGTCGTCGTTGGAGTAGGTCCATCCCGTCGGTGTGTGTCGGAGGGGGGGATGGAGAGAAGGGGAAACACAGACTCCTGGGGATAGAGTGGCGAGCGTCATCGGCGGCGTGGAGGGCCTACCCCTCATCGTCGGTGGTAGGGGTGAGCAGAAAAAGACTGAGATCGAGAAATTTGGTCATCAATTCGTTCCTAAGTAGTGAAAGACAGAATTTTGTTTGGTCAATTCGATTAGTCTCATCGGTTAACCGAATAGATTGAAAAGACTGAATTAACAAAAAAATGTCTAAATGCAACCTACAATCCACTAAGTTCAATAGGATTAAACTCTATTTTTTACATTTCTACTTCTTCTAGGCATGCAACCTAATAAAACCTAATAAGAGTCTTTGCTTATAGACCGAGACCGAATTTGTCGGTCCTGACATTTTTACGTTGAAATTTGGTCTTCACTTTTTAAAGACCGAAATAACCGAAAGACCGAAAACCGAGACCAAAATTTTCGGTTAGACCAAATGTCCACCCCTAATCGGTGGGGCTAGTGCTCGAAAGCTACTCACTACAACGGTGGTTGTTGGGGTGGCAACAGCAAGATGAGAGAGGGGTGGCACGGGAAGGGAGTGGTATTGGGGGTCGTAGCGACTAGGGATGGGCTGGGGGTCGTGGCTCAAGCTCGCCGTGACTGTACAAACACGCCAAAGAAGAAAAGGAAGGGGAGAGTGGGAGAAGCTCACGGCTGAGTCCCACGCTGTTTTTTTCCCATTTGTAAGCCACGCTGACGTGCCACGTAGGCAAAAAACCTCTTTAGAGTGGCAAAATTGTAAGCTGGAAAATTGTAAGCTGGAAACCAAGAGAGACATTTAGATAAATTTATCTACTGTGATGGTTCCCCTAATTCCTCTCCATCACCCTGACAGGCACCATGGTGGCGAAGGGTGTCTATGGCGTTATTTTATCCAACTCTACTCTAGTGGAATGGACAGAGATAAATTCGGGTGCTTTGGATATTTTAGAAAAAAAAAACTATCGACGGTGAAGACACAAAGGAAGAAAAACTCTTTATATGATGATAAATCGTACTCCCTCCATATTTTAATATATGACGCCGTTGACTTTTTATCTAACATTTGACCATTCGTTTTATTTAAAAATTTATATAATTATCATTTATTTCATTGTGACTTGATCATCATCAAATGTTCTTTAAGCATGACATAAATATTTTCATATTTGCAAAAAAAAAATTTAAATAAAACGAATGGTTAAACGTTAGTCAAAATGTCAATGGCGTCATACATTAACAAAATACGGAGGGAGTATAATTCATGTTTATAGACTGCAATTACTGGTATAAACAGGAGATGTAGAGATCATGTGCTGATGCATTTTCTGGAAACATCTCAGGATCATTTGTGTAGTATGAGTATCTATCAACAGTGTCTTTGTACCTCTGCTACACGTTTCTCCGTGGAGACATGGTGTGCTCATCGTTGCACTTGACCTTGCTCATCTGGCAGGCACCACGCAAGCACTTATACGTCAGAATCATACAGCCAATTCATTGCTGACAAGAACTAGGTTTTCACAGCACAACTTGGCACGGACAGACAGGAACTCTCACTTGTGTCTACTCCACAAGACACTTCGATTGCGCCAAAGCAAGAGCGAAATTCCACACTTAAAGTTATGAGCGATCATTATCCTTGAACTCTTCAAAACAAGATTAACACAAACTTATTTACAAGCACTCAAGTCTTTGAGGTCACGTGTTACCGAATGGCGACATATGTACAGTACCATGGCGGCGTAGTGACATCAAACAGTCGCATTCAGAGCAGACCACATAACTGATAACTACATGATGAACTTACGCCAAGAACCTATTGTGACATATATCTATATCACAAAAAAACATAGATAATGCATGATCAGCTGCTAAATAAGTAGTGTTGCAACTTACAATATCAAGGGGTGCACTATACTCCGCCAAGGTTAATGATAGTTCACCGAGTCGACAACATCACCAATCCATCCAGGATGGAACTTTTATTCCCTTCTGCTTGAAGCCCTGTGTAGATGTTATTAGTGCAACGGTACTGAAACAGGGTAAATTGCACAGAAAAATAAACAATATAAATTTTGAAATTTTAATATCTGCAGGAATCATCATAAAACTTCCCTACTCAAACCCATATTAATATTTCATGTTCTTTAATGAATAAAGCATTTTATTTACTTGTAATGTTTTTATTTTACCATATCATTAATTAAAGAAGCTGCCAGGAAAATTTTCTACTGTGGTGCATCGAACAATTATCTTATCTGGAACATTGTATAAGGGTGATATCAACCTAACAAACACATATGCAAGCAAACTCAAATTATTTACTACTCTCATGTGCAAGCAATAGGACACTGTTATCTGCAGGTAATTGTTCAGTCACACAGTTCTATATTTAGCTTCCATAGTATGAATGAATACACTACACCATGCCAGTACATATAGAAATATGTAGAGACTTTGAATGTGAGTTGTTGAACATTTCAGAACACTTAACAGAACAATAGCACTTGGCAATTGCATATCTTGGAAATTCTTAACTAGTTAACTGCAGCAGTTGAAGATCATGGCAGTCCTTAATCATTGGTCAAACCCAACAATGTTTTCATTTTTTTTCTCGAACATACAGGAGAGCTGAGCATCGTTATATTAAGAAGGAAAAGAGTCCAAAAGGACTCAAACAAGCCCATTAGGGCAGATTTTAGTACAAAACGGCTTGCCAAAGAAATACAAAAGGACTGCGACCATCCATGAAATAGTTTAGTTGGAATGTTTTCATGTTTTCAGAGGAATATTATCTGGCGAATAATCATCAGCTAATTCTGTGGCAAAAGCTACGCAAAGATAGGATGAAATAGTTAGTTGGAATAATTGGGCATAAAGCATTCATAGGTGGCTATTCAAGTCTGCAGTTATATACCCAGGCTTCCTGGAAAGGTGGGGGAAACTACCAAGCTGAAGTGAAGTAGGGGCACACAGAATTTCCAGTGAGTGCTGAATTGGATATAGGAAAGAAGACCAACGTGAAAGCACTCCATTTGGCCAATACTATGGTTGTGTTTAGTTCCACACTAAAATTGGAAGTTTGAAGAAATTGGAACGATGTGACGGAAAAGTTGGAAGTTTGTGTGTGTAGGAAAGTTCGATGTGACGGAAAAGTTGGAAGTTTGAAGAAAAAAGTTGGAATCTAAACGGGGCCTATTTTATATTGCATTTATTATCCCTCTCATAAGGTATTTTAGTTGCGCGTCGCTTTTTGTGATGACTTTTTGGGGTCTTGAGGGGTCCTTTTGGATCCCTCGTTTGTACATATTTCTTCTTCTTCTTCTTCTTCTTCTTCTTCTTATTAATAAAATAAGGCGCAGTCCTCCTGTGTTTTTGAGAAAAATAAGGTATTTTAGTTTTGGGTATATTATTCTAGAATTTCCCACACAGTTCTCTTTACCCTGGTGTCTCCAAAAATTATATCTCATCTGGAACATTTTTTTTTAAAAAAAAAAGTAAGGATGACCACCAGCAGAAACCTCCTGTCAGGCACATGTATTTAACCACCCACTATAAAGCTAATAAGTAGTTCGGATTATGCAGCAGTCGTACCCACAAAAATACAGCATTTCTGCATTAGATATATGTTCAGATGAATGTCAAAACAAATGATAATATATACTTTCTCTGAGACTCTGATTCCATATACAAACTGTTTTTATACTTGTGCACAAGGATTAAGAAAGTGATCAAATGAGTTCGTTGCCCTTCATTTATACATAGTGGGATACATGTTCATGAGTGATAATATGTATTCAAAAAGGACAAAGGAAAAAAGAGATAGTAAAAGGTGCCTCAAGTTATTATGACTTATATTTGAAAAAGAGTTAGGAATTCAAAGATGACTGAGGAAGTATAATCTTACCTTTTTCACATCTGAATATAGATCTTCAACCCTTTTCTCTGTCTGCTTTGCAAATGACCACATTTTGTATATACTAGACTCCATCTTTCTTGATTCATCAATTAGAATTTGAACCTGTAATCATCGTACCCATGATATAAACAACTGAACAACATTCAGAATACAAAAGAATGAATGATGGAAAAGCACAATAATAGGAACAGTTACTGTCCAGTTGTCAAAGTCAAAACACCAAATGCGTGATGTATGACCATCTAAATGCCAAAAAAGCTATATGGCACAGGTAGATAAAAATGTACACATTTACATTTAACTATTAACTATACTTTTCTAATGTTTTTACTTTTTAGTATATAACAAAAATTAAAAAGCATAGAAACCCATATTATACCATCATGATCACTTAGAGTAGTATAGTAAGAAAGAAATAGGAAATCAGATCAAATCTTCCAATACTGGAGAGAATAGATATAAATTACTACCTCCGTTTCAAGTTATAAGACTTTCTAGCATTGCCCACATTCATATAGATGTTAATGAATCTAGGCACACATACATGTCTAGATTCATTAACATATATATGAATGTGGACAATGCTAGAAAGTCTTATAATATGAAACGGAGGAAGTACAAACAACAAAAGCGGCTTATATTTTAATTTCATGTGTAGGATATAAGTTAACATCATGACGATATTTGAAGGCAAATAGAATGGCAAAAAAGGCCAATAGAATTCCAACATAGCTTGGAGGAGAACAATCGTTATGCTTTGTTAGTAAAAAGCTGCGCAAAAGCCTTTGATCTAAAAGAAACATAGCTTGGAGGAGCAATCGTGCTGTCGATGGATAATTGGTCATAGAACACCTCACTATTGCCTATCGGTAACATCATGGCCAGAAAACAATATCGAGAGCAACAACTACCAGTTCATGCAATGAGACCTTATGTACAAGCTTACAGCTAGGGTCACTGAATTCACAAGTTCTCATCTCTCTTCTCCTCTTCCCTCCATTGAATATTTGAGTGTCAGCGCAATTGCAAGACACTGTAGTCATCATACGCCACCATTCACAAAGACCAAGGTGGCATTTAACATAAAAGAATTAACTACAGAACGGCTTTACATTGCCCTTATTAAACGGCATGATACAATTAGGACTCAACCCCTTTCATGCATTAGGTTAAGGGTAGAGAGTAGAATTATGACTAAACTCTTGGTTTTCTCGATAGACAAGCACTCTAAAATGCCATATCCTAATTAAATAGACAAACATTGTGAAAACAAGAGTATAAATTTAGACGTGCTTGAATTTGAAAAATTAAAATTCTACTCTCATATAACAAATTCAAATAAATTATATGCACAAAGGAACAGTACAATGCAGCTTCTAACAACCTCAAGAGTCAAGACAATCAAAATAAATAATAACCTAGATAGTGATACCTTTCTCATATCTGAATGTAGACCCTCTACTCTTCTCTCTGTATCCTTAGCCAATGACCATAATTCACGAACATTAGAGTTCATCTGTCTTGATTCATCCATTAGAACCTGAACCTTTTATCACAATGCTGATGAGATGAATTAATCAAAATACCTCCACCCCCAAAAAAATCATAATAGCTCAGAAAAGTAACACATCAAGATTGAACTAGAACATTCAGAATGACAATATTGCAACACATCAAATTTATTTACCAAATAAGATAGCACAATACTGAGTCTTCATATGTATTTAGGCTTGAAAGACATTTTTAAAAAAATGTATTCAAATGTGAGGTTTCTAATCTCAGATGAAAAAACACAATAAATCAAATGCATGATCAAAAACTAATATTAATAAAATGTTATAGAATTGGTAGTTACTCATGGCAATCAAAACTGATGATAACCTTACCATATTAACATCTGAATGCAGAGCGCTGACTCTATTATCTGTATCCTTTGCCATTGACCATATATTGTGAATATTGGAGTTCATCTTTCTTGATTCATCCATTAGAATTTGAATCTGTAATCATAATATCCATGAGATGATCACCTTGAACCAGATTTCGTAATATATTATACTATAATAATTATAATGAAGGGCTCTCAAAGTAATTCATTTTGTGCAAGGGCAACATAAATAACCTAAGATTGGTACAAACAAAGCTAAGCATGCTATGAGCATATGCTCATTGGTGCAAGGGAAGGCATGGAAATTTTACATCACCCGTACTTTTCTGATTGGTTTGCAGCCGGTAGTGATTGAAAATACTGGGAGATATTAAAACCATTATAAAGTGTAATCATAGGCAAGGGAAAATATTTCATAAATCTACAAGTTGCATTACTGGTAGTACGTTTTATGTGTAGGTTTCTTAACTTACTCAGAAATTGTTTCACCAGATCATATGGCATTTCAGTTTAGATGAATGCTAGTATTTGATGTTTTTCAGTGCTTCATGCTTACAAAATGTCACTATTTACTTTGTAATCCATTTTTCCATACTCATGTACTCTTAAAGTGTTTCCAAATAATGCGGTTAGTTACTCCAGTTGCAATATTAGTTAACCTAATTTAGTTCAAGGGACTGGCGTTTGAGTGTAACAGCTTCATTCACGATTGGAATGAGGTTGCTGATGCTCAAGAACAACCTTCAGCAATGCAAATAGGAATTTTTATCTTACATAAGATCTCTGGCTGAAAATAAAGACCAAGAATAGAAACAGTATCCTCTAGTTTGTATGTAACACAAATACTGCAAACTCAATGTTCTAGCAGAAAAAAGACATGATAATCCTCTCAATGAAGCATATACATTTGTATGAAGAAACATTGAATATGGACAGCTTGAGAAACTTTATACATGTTATTAATGTAACTGTTTCTATTGGTGATTGGTGACACATAACATAGTTGAAAAAGAAAAAGGTGCACAATTTTACGGGGCCACACATGTAGATAGATAGAGAGAGAGAGAGAGAACCTCCTTTTCCATTGCCTTGATAGTATTATCAGAATATGAGCCACAAAGTGATTCCTACAAGATTGGAAGGCACAAAAGACCAATGCATGATTTGTAAGCATTCTGTTATTTAACCAAAATTCCAAAAGTAGGAAATGCAACTTATCAGAATGACAGTAAGGTACCAGGTATAGGTTGTTCCTAGGCGCACGAATCCATAGATGTACGAAAATACAAATGTAACTTTGTATATATATATGTGTAATGTTTTGTTGCTAAGTGAAGCGCATGGTATTACTAATTAAGTGACCTATTTTTAGTCATTTGTTTTGGTCTTCCTTCCTACACAATCAGACAAAGAAATGAGTGTTTCCCTGCTCCTTGTTACAGAACTGTCCCTAATAAAAAACAATCACTGGTCTTAATGGGAGGATCAAGAACCGTCATCATGCATGTGTAGACCGTAATTTTTGACACCGTAACTCTGTAAGCAACCAATTACAGAACTATGGATTATGGAAATTGATATGACAAATCCTAAAAGAACATCATACCTTGATATTCTCATGCTCATTGATCAGGGACTGAATATCCAGCCCCATTGCTCTCACAACCTCTCCATCCTCCTCCAAAGGACCACTTTTCCCATCCAATGGTTTTGAATTGTTATCCCACATAGACTCTGTGCGCGCGGCATAATTCAGCAATTGACCACACAGATCAGGCCACGAATAGAAGAAATTGGAGAGAACTCATACGCGATATTAAAAATACATTAATTTCTCAGGCCACGAAAAGAATCGATGGAGGGGTATGGGTCGCCGCTAATTCCCCAGTCCCCACGTACCCAGCCTGGCGAGCTGGAGCTTCAGCTGCTCGATATCCGACCGCACCTCGCCGCGGAAGGCACCCTCTCCGTCATCGGGGACGACGACGGAGGCCGCGGCGCACTCCCTGGCGTGGTCGCGCGGGAGGGCGAAGATGGCGGCGAGGAGCGCGGCGGAGAGCGCGAAGGCCGCGCAGGGACGGCGGAGGTCGCCGGCGCTGCCGGTGAGGCTGAGGCGGGCGAGGAGGGAGAGAAGGCGGAGGGGGAGGAGGAAGGCGACGACGGCGGCGAGGATCGCCGCGTCGATCCTCATGGTGGCGCGGTGGCGGACTGGACTGGAGAGGTGGACGCGACGGGTACGGGCGGAGCAGAATGGTTGCCCCGTGGGCTCAATTCTGAATTACACTGGTTTTGTAGTGTAGGCCCAATTTTATATCGGTACCAACTAGCAAAATGCCCTAATATTAGTAACGAAAATGCTACACAAACGACCGGAGCGTCTGACTTTTTGGATGACCCGTTTGATTCAGCTTAGAATTATTATAATCTGAATTATTAGAAATAAGCTAAAAAAACATATAGCTTATTATGATATATTATTATAATCTATAAGCCAGATTACTATATAATTTAGCAATCCACTAAAGGTGTTTTTTTAGATTATTGGGTGGCTAACAACTAACAAACAGCTTATAATTTAGGGAAACAAACAACTCACAGATTATTCTATGTTAGCTTTTATAATTCAGCTTATAGTAATCTAGTTCAATAATCTTAAGCTGAAACAAACAGTGCCGCGCGGCATCAACATCATGCTATACATCACATGAAGCCTCACGCCGTCATGTATTGTGCTGCTCTGCTGTTTCGGTCAGTGGAGAACCCAGAACAGAAATTACCGGGGGTTCAATACGTACTAATTATCTATTTTTTTAATTGTATACTAATTAACATGATATAACTTAGTAAGAATTGGATAATTTACCCGGGGTTCGAGGATCCCGAGAAACTACACGTAGGATCGCCACTGATTTTGGTCGTACGCCAGTCGGATGGAGAAGTCGTACGTATAGCAAGGTTCTATTGGTAACTAGGAATATTAACTAGCAAAATGCCCTTACACGAAGTCTCCATCAGTTTATTAGTGAAAAAATAATTTATAAGTAAAGCTTTCATGTATGTGTCCTTGACAACTTAAAAATAAAACTGAAAAAGAAACTATGTTAATAAATATTAAAATCAACTTCAATATTTTAATTTTTGGCATTGGTCTATAAGTTATAAGGCAAATGATGAGGCCCTCTTTTTTCTTTGATATTTTTCTTTCGGAACATTTTTCGCTCTTGTTTTACTTTTTTTCTCTTTCGGGATATATACACAATAGTTAAATCAGTTGTATTCGTTGACAAGGGTGTTACTACATTGCTCTACCCACACATGGTTAAAGGTGGAGTGGAGTGGAGATGGCTGGTGTGGAGGTGGTAAATACGGTGTTGAGTGGTGATAAGTAATACCCTCCCTGAGTACCTTAGGGCATATGTAGTGTTTATTTATAGACAACGTACTATGTGTAGATCTCATAACAAAAATATATGCTTTGTGAAAACTTCTGTAATGTATATAACCACAGGGTGCCATGGAGAGTGAGACCCACTGTGATTAACACAAGGAAGATGTGGTATTGATATATTCATTTCAGAGAGCAATGGCATATGGCATGTGAGTTCAAGAATACAATGGCCGGTGGTTGGCCCTAAGCTAGGAGTGGCTGAAAATAATCTTATAGTGTATAGAGTCGGTTCTATCATCTTCTCTCTTTTATAGAACCCTCTCTAAATGCAAGATTGTACATGCTTTTATATCATCCTTGAAGGGGATCCAAGTCTTTTGACATTTGGTAGCCCGATGATCCATTCCGTGTCGAGCTGGACCGGGCTGCCTTGATGGTCCGGTCCAACAGGAGGTTGGGGGAGGGGGGAGGGGGGATGATGCTCAGATGGGTTGGACTACAAAAGGGAAGAAAAGATGGGGAATGAGGATTGGGCCCAAAGAGCGAATATATTTAGAGTTACCATTTTATTTGAGTTTGTGTGTGGATGATTTGAACTTGGATTTAGTTTTCATATTTCCTGAAAGGGTGGCTTATTCCATTGACCTATATTGGGAGATAATTACTTTCCAAATTTTAGGAATTTCCTTTACGTAGTTTCATGGATTTAATAAAATAAATTGATTCCTTATTTAGAGTTACTTCATTTTCTATTGGACCCACGATTGGTATAGATATTTGGGCTTTTTATCGTGTATGTGTTAGCTTATTAGTTGTAACCAAAATTTAAATTGTGAAACTTAACTTTAGAATTGATTTGTTTTCATTGCCAACAATGAATTTTAAACCACAAATAATATATGTACAAAAGTCTTACTAATAAATTATTTTGTATCGTATATTTTCCTATGACTTATCAACCACAGCTCAAATGATTAGAGTTTACTATCAGATGCCATTACTATAGACAACAGAAGCATCTAATAAATCCAAATACCCTCTTTTATGACTATCAACCTTCAAAACTCAGGCTAATGGTGAGCCTTAGATCGAGATCAAAAGTCATCAAGCCTAGACTTTGGCTCATGCTTATTTTTTTTACTTGAGCTATAAGAATAACAAGTTAAATCTTGCCCACATATGACATAAAATAATATCGACACAACATCCAAACTCAAAAAGATAACATGCCAAATCTCACCAACATATATAATCCAAAACATAATAGTACTACATAATACCATAAAATCAAGAAATGGTTATGCCCAAAGTTCTATAATAACATATATAATAATTGAAAGACAGGACGAGCAACCACCGAGAGACCGTAGTGTGTGGATATTACATGTGTGAGATGCTTAAGGTTAATGGGAGTTACACAACAAACCCGGACAATATAAATACAAAGATTTGTTCTTTGAAAAATACTATCCCATAGTAATGCAGTTTATTAATGCGGACATCAAAATTTCTAACTTTTATTTTCATATTTCTTTTATATATTCTTGAAATTCCTCCCGTAGCATAACAATTCGACAAGGAAACACTACTTTATGAATGTCTGCACCGATATGTGCCACTTTATCCAACGCGAGTGTTGCAATGCACTTGGTTTGTTGTTTGACGATTAGAGCACGCCATCGTAAGAAAACAAATACAAAACCCTTCAAGAGTAGAAAAAGGAACATATGTAATGAAACTTTATTGTTATGCGATCCGAGAATGATCATTTGTGATGAAGTTAACAAAACAATGTTTATATATGTCTTCATTTGAACATATTTAATATTTATATATTGATAAGTACACACTTCTAGAGCATATAGTACTAGCTACTATAAAACTAAGTTTTCAACTGGAAAAATATTTTGATTTATAATAGGCGGGGAAATAGCTATCTCAAGCAAAATCACGAGAATATTCATGGATATATCAAATGGTTTTCTCAAGATGATCATGATGATGTTATCACATATCTCCTATACTACATACTTTGTTATAATTACAATTTTGTTTTTTCCCATTGTAACATGCTAGTATTGTACTAATATGACTTAATTAAACATTATCGACACAACATCCAAACTCTTTTTTTTTAAAAAAGATAATAAGCCAAATCTCACCGACATGTATCACCCAAAATATAGCACTAGTACATATTAACAAAATCTAAAGAAATGGTTATGTCCAAAGTTCCCAACACAGCAATGACTTTTATACAACACATGCCAATCCATTTTCCCAGAGGAGCCCTCGCGTCGGCAAAACCGACGTGACGTGGACACCCTCCCGCTGCGTCCTTCCTCCTCTTTCCTCTCCTCCCGTCGAGATTGCAAAAGGAAAAGAAAAGAAAAAATAATCCTCCATCACCCACCGCATCTCCGCTCCTCGACCGCGAGAGAGGAGAGGAGAGAGAGAGAGAGAGAGAGAGAGAGAGAGAGGCGTTGCGAGATTCATCAGGCAGGCGCAGGAGAGGAGAGGAGAGGAGAGGAGATTCATTATGGGGGTGGACTACTACAAGCTGCTGCAGGTGGAGCGGGGCGCCACCGAGGAGGAGCTGAAGAAGGCGTACCGGAAGCTGGCCATGAAGTGGCACCCGGACAAGAACCCCAACAGCAAGAAGGAGGCCGAGGCCAAGTTCAAGCAGATCTCCGAGGCCTACGAGGTCACAACACCTTCTTCTGTATCTATATGCGCATTCCCCATCGTTCGCGAATTTGCGCCTCTGATCTGTATATATGCGCCCGGTGTGCTCCCTAGTTGATGTTGGTCCGCCAAGAATGGGGGCTGGTATAGAGGGTGCACCTAAACGAGAGGGATCAATCTTACCCCCATTTCCTCTCCGCTCGCCGATTGAAGTAGTTTTTTTGTTCGCCATTACCTAAACGAGGTTGTTCTTGCGATGCGATGTTGTTGGTAGGAAGATCTGGGTGCTGCAAAGCAATGCTGTTTGATCTGAAAATGCTGCATTTTTTCCCGGTGCTTGTGGGATCCAAACAGAGCAATGTAGTGCCTTTGTTACTCAAGAGACGATTCATTTCATGCAACAATATGGAACATTTGACCTTAGGTTGGGAACAATGGCCTTTTGTATTTCTGGATTCTGATGTTATTGTGCCACCTTCTTTGTTATTTTGGAATTTGCCCACTGTTCTTTTTGATCTTTACGTATGTTTTGTAACTTCAGGGAATGGCATGTTATATTCAATTTTTAGAACAAAAATTGCTGCAGGAGGTATTAATGAGCTAATTATGATGCAGCTCATACTGGAAATTTGGAACCCTATTATGCACTTTATTATTGACTGGATGGTTATGGTATAATTCATATTCTTTGCATGATTTCAGGTGCTAAGTGATTCCCAGAAACGAGCAGTCTATGACCAGTACGGAGAAGAGGGGCTCAAAGGGCAGGTGCCACCTCCTGGAGCAGGTGGGCCTGGTGGGTCTTCATACTATGGGGGTGATGGGTCGACGTTCCGGTTCAACCCTCGAAGCGCGGATGATATATTTGCTGAGTTCTTCGGATTTTCCAGCCCATTCTCAAGCATGGGTGGCATGGGTGGTATGGGTGGAGGTGTTGACAGGGGCATGCGGGGATCAAAGTTTGGGATGTATGACAATGATATATTTGGGTCCTTCTCTCAGTTCCCTGGTGAGGCATCAATGCATGCTCCCCAACGGCCCCAGAAGGCTGCACCAATTGAGAACCGACTGCCTTGCAATCTAGCTGACTTGTACAAAGGCACCACCAAGAAGATGAAAATTTCACGGGAAATATTAGATTCTAGCGGGTAATTAGCTCTATTATCATGTCATTTTAAAGTTATTCCTTGTTCAGTACTGGATTGGTTTCTGAATATGTATGTGGCATACGTTTAGTATGTATAAAAAAGTACGAAGCATTTTAGCATTTCAAGTGGGGTCTATGAATTATGTGAATTACCATGGCGTGTACAAAAGTAAAGTTCTGCACACTAGTTGATAATATGGCAAATTGCACATGATTATGGTTGCCTGTTATCAATTGAATAGATGTCACAATCTAGGTCTAATGTATATCATCATTACCTTGAAAGCGCTGTTTTTTTTAAGAATCAGATTAAGGAGATATCAACATCCTTTTACTCCCTTGTCAAATTGGTTGCCTAGGGATGAATGAGAATGTAGTGACTAATGGTGATAGTATAGAGTTCGTTAGGACTTCTGTTCAACAGGTTATATTTCCTTCTAGGACTATAAACTTGACATATTTCCTTTGATATCGCAATGCTTTAGTCTTGATATTGAAATAGTAGTTTTGTGCTCATTCAGGTGGGTGGTTTCACACGTCTATTGTTTTTGAAATAGCCTATAACAAGTCATCCCATGTTAGTGCTCCGCTAGCCTTCTATGTACATTTGGTCATCAGCATGTTGATGGATCTTGTCTATGATGTTGAAATTGTTGCTGAATGGACACATTTATGCATAGGTGTTCTTATATCATACTTTTGACAACATCATCTTTTATATTTCTTTCAATATTGTGTAAATTAAAAATATGCTGAGAAACAGAGTCAAATGTGTACATGTCAATGTTAAACCAATATCATTTTCAAAAATATAAGATATGTTTATAATCTCCCATATTATTGGACACAATTGATTTTTCATCTACCATTATATTAATGCAGTATTGCTACAGATTTTTCACTTTTGAGTACTCATTGTGTTAATATACCAAAATGTTGTTTTCAGTTTCAGTTGTTGATGAGCTATACTACAAATAAAAGAAAAACTGCATTAACGTGAAACCGTGCCCTCATTGTTTAGGATTACGCTGTTATGGACAGCACTATGTGGCCATATCCGTAAGGTGGTTTTTGGATTTTGGATATGCATCTTGACACATTAATGTCTTCCATTTTGACCAAATGGACTTGTTTTTGGAAGTTAAAAACCTATTGGACAAAGATTTGTTGCGTAATTGTTCTGGTTGCATTTAAGCGCAACAACTGGTTTGGAAGCCATTTAAAGTTCAGGCATTGCCTAATTGGCCCAAATGTCATCATCCCATTTCACTCATTCTGATTTTTTCGTACATAGGAAACACTTGGTTTTTATATATAATTGTTTCACCACTCAAGTGGAACACTTTATTTAATACAGTGGATACTCATGACATGAGGTTGGCTTATCAATTTAGCGAGGCTTGTTATTGTTTCTGCAACTTTTATAGAAATTCTTATTATTAGATTTACAAATATCAGCAGTTTCTTATTGTCACCACATCAAAGATATATTTTGCTTTGGTTTCTACTCAATTAATATTTCGCAAACTGGCCAAACATAATTTTGTGTTGTGGTTCTGTTTCTCTTGGTTGAGTATGAGTCATATTATTCCGTTAGGATCAAGATAACAAAAAGTAGATAGCAGAGTTGTAGCGGATTGTGGGGGATATTGTCGGCGTTACATTCCTAAAGCGGACTATAAAAAATACTCATAAATCATAAGTTTAACTTAACCATGAACATACGATGGCATTTATCATAATAAGACATGTATTAGAAGTACACTGCATACAAGGACATCAATCATAAGTAGAACTGGAAGATGATCTGGTATGTATGCATAGCTACATTCATGATAAACAATTATATCTTAGTTGCACAGGAACAGCAGAAAACTCATGCATGTGCAAGCTAGCACCATCAACTTTGTATTTCTGCATGTTTAACCTGTCTAGGACCTGTAATTATTGAAATTGACTGGGCTTGAAATTACTATGAAAGCCTGCTACTGCAATAGTGGCCGCTATTTAGTACTATGCTTCGGATTATTTTGAGTGTTACTGTTGCCTTCCACTAATTTCCATTTTTTTGTCATATGGGACATGCTCTTATCCAGTCTGTTTCATTCTGTGTTTATCTTGTGTTGTCTTCAATATTTGATATGCCATTTTTATATACTTTGCAATAGACTTCCATTTGGTGCCTTACTAGCGTATTTCTGCATTGGCAGGAGAACCATGGTTGTTGAGGAGATCCTAACAATCGACATAAAACCTGGATGGAAGAAAGGGACAAAAATTACTTTTCCTGAAAAGGGTAACGAGTCTCCGCATGTGATTCCTGCGGATATTGTATTCGTGATTGATGAGAAACCACATGATCTGTTTACACGAGAGGGGAATGATCTCGTCATGACACAGAAGATTTCCTTGGCTGAGGCCTTGACAGGATGTACAGTTCAGGTAACAGCACTAGATGGTCGGAACCTAACAGTACCAATCAATAATGTCGTCTACCCTGGCTACGAGGAGGTTGTTCTCCGAGAGGGCATGCCAATTCCGAAGGATCCATCAAAGAAGGGAAATCTTAGGATCAAGTTCAACATCAAATTCCCCTCAAGGCTGACGTCTGAGCAGAAATCAGAAATTAAGAGGCTACTAGCTTCTTGAGGAACACAATATACCGTTAGGTTGTCTGGTTTTTTGGGTGCACTGGGGAGACCAATCAGATGTTAAGCTGGGAAATGTGAATACCATCCAAAGACTCATTTTTTGTGGGTTCTGGTTATTCCACCTTTGTAACTTAAAATTGTCAATTTTGGCAGAATAATTCATCAAAATAGATAATTCTGTGTCAACATGCCGTGCTTATGTGTGCCATCTCCTACTGAGCAGAGGCTATCAAAATGAAGCCGCAGTTCCAAACTCTGTTTTTTTTTCTTTTTTGTACTGGACTGCAGAGGGTACCCCTGGTTATATTTTGAGTATTTCTCGTCCTAGCTGGGCCAATCTTAAACCATGTTGACAATGGGCTAATCTCAAGGCATGTTGACGACGGAACAGTTGGTGGAGGAGCTAGAATATTGTTTGAAATACATACGATATGTATGTATTTCCCCTATTATATGAAACCAAAGGCTTTCTGTCATCAGTCTACACCTGTACGGCTGTACATGCACATTTTCGGTTGTTGCGGTGTTGCTGCCTGAACGTCTGCACGAAGAGCCTGTCATTTTCACCGCGCCCTGCTTACCCGGTTACCGCAAATACCAGTCCACAGTTTGCGCCTGGCATCTTATCACATCTGTATGCACTAGATATATTTACCCTGCATACGGGGCCAACATTTACGCCGGCACTAAACAGCAGTGGTAATAACACATACGGCAAATCGGGCAGTGATCAGGCGATAGTTGATAGCCAGCCAAACACTACATTTGTCAAATTAGCACAGATGTACAAGCCTAGCAATCTTCACACAATTACAAACTAGCAAACGCAATCCTAATCGCAAACCAACCATCGATCAATTTACACCAAGATACAATCGAATCAGCAGGACCACCAAATGCCCTAAACAATCAGGCATCTCTCTTGTTAAATATAACCTACTTGGTAGCATGCTACTCTATGTACTAATAAACAGTAAATGCACATTGCAAACTGAAACGCTTCCACCACATACTTCACACAGCTCAGCAAGCATAAGGTCAAGCATTTCTGCAGATACCGGGGGTAATTTACTTGCCCAACACAAGCTTCTTATAGAGCGCAAGTATATCCTTCTTGTTAGGATTCTTTAACTCTAGCAACTGCGCTCCAAATCCATGCTTGGTAAGCTCCTCTTTCAGCTTTGCAATCGTGAGCTTTTTATACCCATCTGGATTGCCATCTTTAGTGTCTGTGCTGACTGTGACACTGTCTTCACCCATATGAACAGAACCGCCATCTTCAGATTGGAAATGCTTTAGAGGGCTAGTATTGCTTTTAGATCTCTTTCTGCTCCTCTCCGGACGATCAATATCCATATCTTGGACCGACTCCATGCCTACTTCATTTTCTCTCAACCTCTTGCCATGAGTGGTGGTACGGAGCTTGCTGTCCAGTGCAGTCTCAACAAGGCGAACTGATGTCAGCTCCTGGTGGAGTACATCAAGTTTGCTTTGGGTAGACTGTAGCTGTAAAGACAAGGCTTCTGCACGCTTGTTCGCTTCAGCTCTAGCTGCACGCTCTGTTGACAAAAGAGACTCAAGGACGTGCACGGTACTGGACCTCTGTTCATTGCTCTGTATCATTAATTCCTCGATTTCTTTCTCCCTCTCGGCAACCCTACTCTCAAGCAAGGCAACCTTGGACAAGGCATCTGTTTCCGATTTATGCATCTTCTGCACTTCATCCAGTAGATTTACTTTCTCCTGCTCCAGTCTGTCAACTTGTCTTTGGATTCTTTCAATCACTGCTAATTTTTCCATTGACAAGCGCTGTGCCTCGTCCTTCTCTTTTTGGGCTGTAACGGCCTCGGTTCGAGCTACATCAGACAACTCGGTAGCTCTTTTTGCTTCCCTTTCTGCAGCTTTGTATCTTTCTTCTGCTTCATCATATTTCTTGCATTCAGATAAGAACTTCTCTTGAAGATGGTTCTTTTCCTGTTCAAGCATTCTTGCTTGCTTTTCAAATGATACCGCCCTGTCTCTTAGAAATTCTAATTTTCCTGTTAGTTCTCTTATTTCATCCTTCAAGGCTGCAGTTTCCTTGTTATGGCTTTGTGCCTTTGATTCCGCTACCTGAAAAAACATGTCAGCATTAGAAAACTAGCACTCATACAATAAATGCATCAACTAAATGAAGTGGTTGAAAGGTAGTGATGAAGGTTAAGTGACCTGCAAGCGCTCAGCCAACACACTTTCTTCACTCTCTGCATGTCTGATCTTTGCAACTAATCTCTTCATTTCTTCTTCCTGTCAATATTAAGATGCTATCAGCATATATACCGTCTTACTCAAGCATATGAAACATGTTGTGGGTACGGCCTACCTTTTCCTCCAGATGTGAAGCAAACTCAGCCCTTATACCACTCTCTCTTTCATGGGCAATTTTGTTAATTTGCTCTTGCACAGATGCTAATCTCTCCAATGCAGCTTTAGCTTGTGCAGCAGCTGTTTCATATTTATCCCTCCACTCTGTGGCCTCATCCTGAGCAGCCGCTGCCTGTTCACGGGCTGCTCCCAACTTTCCCTCTGCAGAGCTATATCTGGACTCAAGAGTTGCTAGTTGAGAAATGAATCCATCTTGCTCAGCCTTTTGCTGAGTAACATATTGCTCATACTTCACTCTCCAATCAGTGCATTCATGGCGTACAAGATCAAGTTCTTTAGACAAGCTCAAGCAGCGCTCATCTAGTGTGCTACACTTGGTCCTCAGGTTTGCAAGATGAGCACTGTGATCTTCAGAAACTCGTTGTTTTTCACTTATAGCAGCTTCATATCGTTTTAGATATTCCGATTTATGGGCCTCATTTGCTTCAAGTTGCCTTTTTAGAAGCTCAAGCTGATCTTCATTTGAACGATATTTCAATGCGAAGGAAGTCCTCTCTGATTCAGCTTCATTTACTAACTTAAGGCAGAGATCCAATATGGGTCCTTCCAAACTGCAAGAAAAAGATGTAGTAACTTTTAGATATGCTTGCTAAGCAACTAGTTGACCAGTTGACCAAAGGATCCATATTCAAATGATGGTTAATTAACAGGCTTGATAACACACAATGAAAATCCAGAATTACCCATTTAACTTTAACTTGACAATAGATTTACAAAAAGAGAAGGAATGAAAATAATTGATGTCATGGATTCCTGAACAAATTACTACAGCTGTATTGCACTAGATGGACGGTAGTATTACCACAATTAATTGACTGGAACACAATTATATTCTACAGTTTGGGTATGGAGCATCTAATATTGCACCACTCAACACATGATCTAACATGCAATTGCCATTCGAGATTTCAAATTCAACAACATAACATAACTACCATGAAAGTTATCAGTTGTTGGGACAGTTGAGACAGCAGGCAAATTTCTACAAACAACTTGATCAAGTCAGCAGAAACTAAGGTGGCTAAATATAGAAAAATAATATTTTGTATAGTCTCACTTGACCAAAAGATAGGTGGCGTATTGTAGATTCTCATCCAGTTCATCTCCAGACAAAAGCAAATTCAAAATATCTGTAAGTGCAAGCATTAAAACAATTAGGTAGGGGCAGGAACAAACCACTGTCTTAAAAAGGCTGCAAGCATTCTCCATTTGCTTGGGCCAGAACAAGAAGTTTCATATTCAGTGAGCAAACTTTCCAGGACCTGCAAAATGTAACGTGGTCTCTGCTTGAGTGCATATACAGAGTGAAATAACACCAGAGCAGCTTCCATGAAAGAATGTCACGGTAGGAAACAAAAGCTTCCATCAAAGCTACTGTTTTTACTGACATCAGTGTATTTACTGTTTTTTATGAACATAAAATTATTAAAGCAATGGTCAACGGTGTGTATTGGACACTGTTAATGCCATAAAAACACCAGGTGAAAAATAACATAAGGAGTATCGAGAATAAAATAATAGTAGCAAATTAGCTTAATTGGATCATTGACAGTCATACTTAAAAGTAAGTATGGCCACAAGCAAACATCCATGTCATTAGCTAAATGCCTGTGCTTTTGCATTGGAATTTAAACAAGAGAACCCCCACTGTATGCTCTAAAGCCCCAAAAGTCATAATAAAAATATTCCCATTGTACTCAATACTAATTATTTCACATAATTTTTACATGCATGTCAATCTACATAGCTGCTTTTAAATGTGTTTGTACATCTGTCTATAGAGGAGTCCACCTACTCACTATTTAGGGGTATCACATGGCAGTTGTGCTGGGTGATGGCAGATGTCATTCACCATCACCATTGGAGTCTTTTAAAGGAGCATAGATGTCGGTACATACCTGAATCACATTAGAAACTTTGACTCCAGGAGCAGAACACGCTGCTCGGAGTTTCCTCTCCATAATTTGTATCATGTTTGAGCACTGCTTATCGGCTTCTAAAAAGGCATTCCTTTTGTATTCCTAAACAAATGTAAGTCCATGAAACCAAATGAGCCACAGGAATAAGAACCAAAGGCATCAGTAAGCCACAATGCAATATTTGGGAACATACGAAGAATGACACACAGAAGAATCTCAATTAATTTTACAGGCATATATCATATCCTTAGCTATTTGGTATAAAATGAAGGTAATCTTTCCTTTTTTTTTGGGGGGTGGGGGGTGGGGGTGGGGGCAGCATGATGCATCCATTATAACATACCCTATTATTTGATATTTTATCAACAACACAATGTTTAATCAAGAATTCAAGATAGAGATATATACACTATACAAAATAATCTTTAGAGGGCTTGAGACTTCTACATGTTGGATCTTATATCAATAACAAATGTAACAATCATGTAGTGGATCGCAGAAAGCTCTTGCAAGATACTCCCTCCATCCACAAAAGTTACACCTATTTCACATTTGGGTTTTTCCAAATAAGTTGTTCCTATTTGTAGTCTTTATGCATTCAAGATTTAAATGAAGAGATAAATTAAATGTTTGATTAGAATCCAAGGAGTCATCTAAATACTCATTGGTTGCATGCTTGCATTCACTCCTCCATTTTGTAGCATCCAAGATGATTTAATTTTTCCTTGGTCTTGGTGACAAAAGTAATAGGTGTAACTTTTGTGGATGGAGGGAGTAGCTGCTAATTCTTTTCTATTTTGGGTCGTTCTGTTTGCCTTGGGTGAATGGTTGTGTGACAACTTT